GCCCAGGAGGCAGCTGGGTATCTCACCTAGAGTTCAGGGGACAGCTGGGTGGCCAAGAGCAGTGAGTGATCTGGGAGTCAGCAGATTTGGATATTTAACCAACACACAGTCTTTGGCATATGCCAGGAGCTCTACAAATACTAGTACTAGCACAATGGGGCCTTACAACAATCCTTGAGGTGTACACTATCATCCCATTTTACAGAGAAGGAAACTAAGGCACAAAGACGATAACTTGCTCAAAATCATTCAGCTGCTAAATAGCGGAGCTGAGATTCCCACCCAGACAGTCGGGCTAGAGTCCAGGCTCTTAGCTCTCTGCTGTCCATTCTGGAAATGGTTTCCAAAACCCTGGGACTGGAAAAGACCCCAAGGGAAACTAAGATGACAAAGGAGGCTTAGGTTCTAGAGTGAAGCCTCTGACTCTGAGCTGGGCAGATCCCCACAGGTCAGTCCTCATCGCTCCGGACAATGGCCGTCCTGCTGACCCCTCCGCCGTGCCCCAGGAGGATGAAGGAAAGGGGGTCCCCAGGCTCTACCCTGTTGGGTCTGCCTTGCACTTCGGCAGTATATTGTGAAGATTAAATCAGATGCCGATGTAAGCGACGGCCCAGGCCCAAACCCAGTCCACTGCTACCCTCCCAGACACACAGGCCATTCCCCACCCACTCGGGCTCTGCCTCTGGAGCAAGAACTTGCCTGGTCTAAGGGCAGGCCTGTGTCCCAAGCACTTGCCATCACTCTCCAATTCGTTAGGACCCTTTCCACCAGGGCCCTTCCCGGCTGCCTCCCCTCCTCCCTCCTCGGACTCCCACGGCCCCTTCTCAGCCTCAGTCTACTCTGAGTAGGCCCAAGGTGTTGGCTCGGCCTCGGGACCAGCGTGGACAAAGGGTGAAGTTCCCATGGCTCCAAGAATCACTGCCCTTTGCTGCCTCTGGCCTTTCTCATGCGTGTCTCCTCTCAGACTTGAGTAGCACGGAGGCCAGGCCAGCTCTGCCCAGTTCTGTGCCCAAGGAGGAAAGGGGGCCAAGCCTGGATCTCCTGGAGCCACCAGCCCAAAGGCCTCTCTGTTCCCTGAGTGCTGCAAAGAGGCAAGCTGACACCAGTTTAGATGTAATTTTTTTCCACTTTTGGCAGAGAAAGTAAAGAGACAGAGTTAAACAAAATGTACTGTAATCACCCCCAACCCACACTTCGTTTTTAAACAAACAGGCCAGGTCCTGCCAGGCCTTCTTCCCTACTAAATGCCCTGAGACCACCCACCCTGCCCACACCTCACTGGCCCACTGGCCCTGGAGCTCAGTGAAGGGGGAAGCTGTTCTCTGGCTTCAGGCTTCGGATGAGAGCTCCAGCCCAGGCAAGGGAAGTCACGGCACTAGTGCCAGAGCACAACCTTCCCAGCCTGGTCCACGCTCACCACGTGGTTCCCACAGCAGCACCAGGCCACGGCATTGACGGCAGTGCTGAGGAGAGGGAGGGCCAGGCCTCAGGGGGGTGCCAGGTGGACCTGCGGCCTGGCGCTGCCCCTCATTACTGGGCCTGGGCAGTTTGAGGCTCTCTCTGAGCCCATTTCCTTCCCTATAAAAGGCTCGCAGGACTACGGCGAAGATGGACCCAAGGGCATGTGAAAAGGCACCTTGTGAACAGTAAAGGGCTCTGGGAGGTGGAAGATATGGACACAAGGGCTGGGGACTCCAGGGCCCAAGCGTGTCAGAACCTGAACTGGGCTCAGTGGGACTGGAGGCAGGGCGGCAGTGGCCCTGAGGCTAGGGTGGGCAGGTGGGTGGTGGCCATACTCACCAGTGGGGTCCCCGTAGGCTACTCTCCAATTTCCCAGTGTCTACATCCCAGATATACAGGGCTCCGTCCCAGGAACCGGCCAGTGCAAAGCTTCTGTCTGGGCTGCGGTGCCCACGGCACAGCAAGAGAGAGGAGGAGGTCAGAGGTGAGGACACACGCACACTGACACACAGACACAATCGGATGGGGCACACTGGGGCATAGGCATGTGCTCTCACATACACACCTGAACACGGCTTTGGTCCAGTCAGAACCGCACTTGAAGCCATCAGCTCTGAGGACAGACAAAAGTTGGGTCAGAGTGGAGGCGGCCGTCAAGGGATCGGGTACCTCAGCAGGCCCCGGGGAGCCTGTTATAGGGGACAAGAGGCCCAACTCCCCCAGCCAAAGCCACAGGCCAGAGGCCATGAGGCAGGTACCTGAACACCTGGCGGATATTGCTGACACGCAGGTCGATGACCTTGAGTGTGTTGTCACGGGAACAGCTGAGCAGATGCAGCTGATCGTGGCTGAGGCTCAGGGAGGTGACCCGGCCCTGCACAGGGATGACCTGTGTGCAGTGGGGCCCCCTAAGGAGCAAGGACAGAGATGGGGATGAGCAGCAGCCCCCCCTGACAGAGGCACCCAGGTCTCAGAGCACTGAGGCCAAGGCTCACAGTGACTGATCTCCCACTGCAGACAGGCCCCTCCAACAGGAACCTGAGCAGCCCCTGAAGCCCTTGGGTCACTGAAATAAGGTCAGAGGGGCCCAGCTGGCATGGCTCAGCAGTTGAATGTCGACCTATGAACCAAGAAGTCATGGTTCAATTCCCAGTAAGGGCACATGCCCTGTTGCGGTATCGATCCCCAGTGTGGGGCGTGCAGGAGGCAGCCAATCAATGATTCCCTCTCATCACTGATTCTCTCTTTCCCTCTCCCTTCCTCTCTGAAATCAATTTATTTTTTTAAAAGGCCAGAGGAAAAGCAAGGAAGTCTGTCTTCACACGCGTGAAAGACAGCAAGGGTATCCAACGGCAATCCCTGCAGACGAGCAAGGAGCAGCCGGAGGCAGGCCTGGCACTGGCCTTTACCACCATTCGAGCCCAATGTTGGGCTCTTAGGTTTTAAATACAACTGAAACTTGTGTTCCTTTTGATTAAAAAGTGGTGACTATGTGGGAAAAGGGGGTTGCTAGATCTTGGCTGTCAAGGCCCAGGCAGAGTCCCATGGTTGGAAGGAGAAGCCCTGAGGTGGCAGAGGTCCACCAGCTGAGCCTTCACGGGGCCAAGCCCAGCACAGCCTCCCCTCCCCGAGGTGCCCACCAGGGCTCCACGGCCACAGAAAGGAAAGAGAACATGGGAGCCTGCCCCTGCGCCTCCGCCATGCACAGCCTGTCACCTGCTGTCCCAGAACCGGATCTTCTGGTCATTGTGGCCACTAATGATGACATGGTCCCCACACACCACGTCGTTGCAGTAGGAAAGGACATTGATGGTCCTCGAGCCTAGGGAACAAGGAGCAGAGCCCCAGCCTCAGAGAAGGGTCGTCAGGAGCCAACCCACAGACATATGAGAAGCTGAAGCCCAGAAGCCTCCCAAAACTAGAACCCGGGTCCCCTGCTTCCCAGCCCAAAGCCCAAGGTCACCAAGAAACTGACAGCACCAATGGGGATAGAGAAGGAGGGGCCTTGGGAGGTTTCACACCAAATGCCTATGAATCTTGGAAACACTTCCAGATTGAAGGTCAAGGTCCCTCACTGACCAGCCTGGGGGGTGAGGAGGGTGTGGGCAGGGGGTTGGGGGGCTGGGCCTCACAGTAGGCACGGTCAAGGTCCCACTCCTTCACTGTCCGGTCTCGGCTCCCAGTCACCGCCTGGTGCCTCGTTAGCTTGAATTTAGCAGCCGTCACCTTGTCTGTGTGTCCAGATAGTGTCTCCTGCCCCCCCCCATCCCAAATATGGATCAAGGGCATAGTCAAGACTCCATAACACCCCCCTCTAGGCCCAAGGCATGAACCTGACCCCCAGGCGGCCTCCCCAGTCAGACCTCACCTTGGACTGTGCCTCTCCCACCTTCCAGAGCTGAGCAGCCTGACTGTAAGTAGCTGCCAATACCTGGGAGCCCTGGAGAGATGAGAGTAGGAGAGGTCAGAAACCTGGGCCTGGCCAGAGGCAACATCCCTCAGGCCAGAGAGCTGGGATGGGCCGCCTTGAGGCTTCTCTCACAACCCAGGTCCCCAAGGCAGGCAGAGGAGGATTTGAGGGCCCAGTTCTAGGATACCCATGTATTTCTAAGAGCCCCCAGCTGCATAGGGTGGAGACTGGGGGGAAGGAAACATCCCATGCTACTGGGGCAAAGGTCTCTCACCGAGGGGTCGAAGTCCACACTGGTGATGCTGCTACCAGCTCCTTCAAGAGTTTGGTTGGCCTCCAGGCGACCTGGGGGAACCAGGGGAAGATATAGTGCAATGAGGTCACTCACCTCACGAAAACGGGGAGCTGGGATGGAGAGTGAGAAAATCAGTCTTTCCCAATTTAGGGACAGAATTGTTGGGTCTGTTCTGGGGGCCTGGGCTGCACCTTCCCAACCTGCCAGCAGGGGGCCCCAGAGGACAGCTGGTCATTTCACAGCACTAAAGAGGACTAGAGAAAAGGGGCTGTCCCTAGGTCACACAGCAAGCCACGGGCCAGGCCAGCTAGAGATCAGACTCCTCTAGGAAGCCTCCAGGAGCTGGCTCTAACTTCCCAATACCCACCCACTCCACCTCTCCTCTCGCCCTCCCCCGCCCCACACACACACACACACACACACACACACACACACACAGCCCAAGGTAGCTAGCTAACATTGGTTTCCTATTGAGTTCTGAGCGTTCAAATGATAACAGAAGTGGCCTAGCACCCAGCTGGCATGTCTCAGTGGTTGAGCATCAACCTATGAACCAGGAGGTCACAGTTTGATTCCTGGCCAAGGCACATGCCCAGGGTGCGGGCTCAGTCCTCAGTGTGGGGGTATGCAAGAGGCAGCCGATCAATGATTCTCTCTATTAATTAATGTTTCTCTCTCTCTCTCTCTGCCTCCCTCCCCCTTCCTCTCTGAAATCAATAAAAAATAAAAGAAGTGGTCTAGAGAACCCCTCATCTAACAGGGACCATGTGAGCTCAGCCCTCCTCATCCTGCAGGCCTGGACCCCAGGAGCTAGAAGACTCTACCCTTCTTCAGAAAAGCAAGCTCAGCACTCTTGCCAAGGAATCATCTGGCCACTGCCCACAAGAATAATCCACGTGAGGAAACATAAAGAGGTCCAAGACCTTTACCCACCAAGAGACAAGCTGAGGGTGGGGTCTGGAGAGAAAGCATAGGTTTGGCCTGCAGGGGAGGGGCCCTCACCTCCCACAACATTCCAGAGGTGAATGAGGCGGTCAGCCCCTCCAGTGGCCAGGAGGCTGCTATTGGGACCAAAACGAACTGCATTGATCTCAGAAAGGTGGGCATCCTGTAGGAAAAAAGGAGAGATTGGTGCCCCTGATCCTTGCCACACAGGCCTCTCTGTGCATGCTCACAGGCTCTCTCACATGCGCTGGTGCACACAGTAGGTCTCATCATCTCTGCCTAGACCCCTGCAGCAGCCTCCCCTGGCTGATAGCCCATACTTCCTGGCTGGCCTCCTGGTCTCCCAGCCTCCTGTCTCTCCCTCTCCGGTCCATGCCGCTATTATAAATGGCTGAGGTGCGCCCACCACAAGCTGTGGCAGAAAAACTCCTGCTCCTGCTGAAGAGCCCAGCCCTGCTTCCCTGGCCTCCTTGGGCCACTCCTGGGGCCCACACTCCCCGTATCAGCACCTGATACATGTGGCCCAGCTCCTCCTCACCAGCACATCCTGAGCCCAGGTAGGAAGTCGGGCAGCCACGCACACAGGGATCCTCTGATACTGCTGCACGGAGGGTCCCCCAATTGAGTGTCCTCTCTTCTTGAAACTGGGGGGAGAGGGGGGTCAGGAGGGCATTCAGCAAGTTCCTCTGAGTCAGCAACAACAGGAAGCAGACATCGAAGGCAACAGAAGGTGGCCAGGAGGCGTAGGGAGCACGGTCCCCAACCTGGCCTCTGACCCCAGGGGTCAGTGTGGAGATGGCAGGGGCACAGAGAAATGCAGAGAGACAGGGCAGAGTGGATGGACGCAGAGAAACCTCGGGGCTGGGGTTTCAGCCCTGGTCTTGTCACTCCTTGGCTCTGTGACCCTGAACGAGTCCCTGAGATTTCTGAACCTCAGCTTCCCAACTGAGTGGTAGCTCCTGTGCAGCCTCGGGCTGGAACTCTTGGTCCCCTGTGAGGAAATTCAGTGAGGGACAGAGTCTGGAGGAGAGCTGAGCAGGAGCTGAAAAGGAGGCCATGCGCCCAGCTCGGCCTGTGGGGCTCAGCAGAGACTCGCACAGACTGCTGGGCAACACAGATGGGCAGACTGAGGTACACACGCAGACCAAGTCTGAAAAGCTGCACACGAGGCTCCGAGACGCCCTATCCCTTCACACACGTCGGTGCACACACACACTTACTGCAGAAGCCCCTTCACCACATCCACACAGCGGGACAGCGTCAGGGAGGTGGCGGAGGCCGACCTGGGGCAGAATCGAGAGAGACGTGCTAAGGGGCTGGCCGGTGGGTGTGCAGACAGTAGTTGTTCGACCCTACTCTGCCAGGGACCCTGGGGCTCACAGCTTCTGGAGCCCAAAATGAGAACTTGGCTCCTCGAAGATCCGGAGAGTGGCATGACCCAGAGCAGATGAAGATGGAGGCAGACAGCGAGTTGGCAATGAAGTCTCCCAAAGTTTTCACCATGATGGTAAGAACTGCCTCAGCACCCAAGTTCCCCAACCAAACTTCCTGGGAGACTGAGCAGGGCCTATGACGGG